TAAAATACTTTTTCTTTTATTATATGCAAATATTATAGTTCACCCCTGCGCAGGTATTAAGGACAGTTATGTCAATTAAGCACAACTCATGTTGTACGTATACTGGTTCATCGATATCAATGGTAGAATGGGGCCGCCACTGATTAATCAATTTTTATTTTTTTATTTTTCTTATCTTTAACATTAGCCATTCACCAGCCAAGTGTTAGGCTGCTCTCTGCATGCGTGGCCCTTACCATTACCGCAAATTGTTTGTTTATACTTTATAACGACAGCACAGCTGCTGTCAATTGAACCACGTGCACTAATTAACACATGGATGACAGCTTTGCAAAGATGAAATGACCAGAAGCTTATTCCCAAAAATTAAAATGTTAAGGTGATGGAAAATTGTAAAATATTTTTTTAAATATTAATTTTATTTAATTTAGTTGATAAAAATAATTAATAATTATTAATTATTAATTATTAATTGATAAAATAATTAATATTTATTAATTAATAAATTAAAATTTTCATATGTTGTTAAACAAAAAATTAAAAATTTTATGACTAATACTTTTATGATGATATTAAAGATATGATTATTATAATTATAATATTGTTAAAATATTAATTTATTTTAATTTATTATTTAATGTAAATTAATTATTATATTAATTATTACTTATAATTATAATTATTAATTATTTTTATTAATTACATAAGATAAAATTAATTTTTTTTTGAACAGAAGAAATTGGGGGAAATGAAGGATAAGTAAGCTACTATTACCGTGGCTACAAATCTAACAGTTGCCAAGAATATAATATACCCGAACCAACCCAACCAAAGCTGCGGATGCAAATAAAATTAAAGTTTTTAAAGATAATACTTTATCATTCTAGTATTCATGATATCATTAATGGTAGCATAATCGCGCCCTTGTTCGCTGATTGCAACTTTTAAAAAGGGCAGAACCCTCAAATCATCCCTTTAAAAATATGGGTAGGTATAGATTCTACCTTTAAAAAAAAAAAGTAGAAACATTTGACCCCTCAAAAGTATTGATGGACCCAAATCGATCATTATTTGACAGATGACGTCATTACTGTTAAAAATTCCGTTTGACCTATGATGACATGACATTTTTCTTTCACTTGGAGACTATGTGTACCATTTGTGCATTTTTTTACACCATGTCCGATGGGTCCCTCTCTTTTTTACTTTCCACATCATCTAGGTTCCACAATATACCTAATTTCCCCATTTCTCGTTTCACCAGGTTTGATTCACCAGATTAGTAATCAAACCTAATTTCCCAAATTAATTTCCTTGTAATATATGAAAATGAAAAATTGAAACCCTAAATCTCAAAGAAATTTCTAAGAAAATCAAACCTAATTACTCAGAGTTTTTGAGAAGATGATCCCAAACAAACTTCTATAGTCTTTTTGTCAATGATCCTCCTTCACACATTCTGCAAGATGACCACCAATTTTCAATAAAGAGATTTCAAAATAAGGGGCTAAGATGCAGCCAAAGCTGGTGCAATTAGAGGTTCAAAGACATATCTCGTGAGGGAGAGCAAGGAGTCGGCCTGATCCATCGCTAGGAAGGTGGAGAATAGGCAGAGGGCTAGGGTGGCGGTGGAGGGGGGTCAGGCACTTCATAGTCTACTATGGTTGCTTGGCCGCTTTTGGGTCGGTACGGGAGAGGTGAATATTAGGAAGCAAGCGTTGATTCTTTTATGAGTTTTGAACTTTGGGCTGGTGAAAGGTGATGGAAGCAACTATAGGTGAGGTTTGTTGCGAACCCAGACATTTGGGTATTTTTCATTGTTCTAAGGTAATTTTTTCATTTGGGTATTTCTTATTTTCATAAAATTATGTTTCTGTAGTGATTTGTTCTTGTTTCTCAAGAAAATTTAGTTCATTTCATTGTTTTTTGGCCTTTGAACTTCTAAAAAGTATTTACTGGCATTGACAACAGTAATTGTGAGATTTCATGGGTTTCTTCTTCTTCTTCATTTTTTTTTCTTAATTTTTTTTTGGTAAATATTTTTTTTCTTAATTATTTGCCATTAAGACTTTCTCTTTTTCATAATTATTCGCCATTAAGATTTTCTCTTATGCAGTCTTGCTTGACTAGTCATGAAGGAATCATTGAGGCTTGTAGATCTAGCTCAAAAAGAAGATAGGGAAATGGGAATAGAAACACATAAGCCAAGATATACGTTTGAGGAATGGCATAATTTCATAAATTTGAGTCGATATGAAGGTTAATTTAGGAAATATTGGTTAAAAAGGAAAAAGAACGAGGTCCATTAGCCACTGTGTCAAAAAATAGCTATGTCAGCACGAGCAAACAAATTTTTTAACTTTAATAACATCAGCAGTTAAATAACGGGGTATTTGTATTGATCGATAATTTAAGGGTGTCTTTTGTTTTTACTTTATTTTGGAGGGTGAATCCATCCTTATCCATATTTTTTAAGGGGCGATTTGAGGGTTCTTCTTTTGAAAAGACTAGATTACCTCACCTTTGAACGAAAAGTCATACATTTAAAATCAATTGCTAATAAATCAAGTACTTTTTTTATTAAATTCATATAATTTTTTATTAGTTTTTTAATGTACAATTTTTCTATTTAACTCTAAGTTTTTGTATTTAATAAGGTTTTAAATTTTTACTAAATTTGCAAGTAAAATCTTAAAATTAATTTTCTTATAGAACTTAAAATTAATTTTAATTTTTAATTTTATGTAACCTATATATGATCTATTATAAAAATTTATATTGTTATTTTTTAATTATAACAAACAAAATATAT